TTTATAAAGGGCTTTTTTTTATTATTTTCTCTGTTTAATTTTGACTATATTTGACTTTCGGATCCCTGAGGATGATGGATATTCAGAGGACGATAGGAAATTGTAAACTATCAAAGGCCTATGGCACTTATTCTCTAAGATAAAATAGATAAGGCTGTGATAAAAAACTTGATGCGACAATGATAGATTTTTCCATTTTATTAGGAGCTTGGGTATATCGAGCAGAAGAAAGAGGTCATTGCTGGAGCAATTGGTCCAAATTCGTGATCAGATTTCAGCTAATATGGGTGTGTCGTGTGAATATTACAAATTGGCGGATTGACACGTTGCTTCTCTATTTCAGCATAGGCAATATAGTCTAATTTGAGAAACGAAAAGTATCATTGTGGATAAGCAATAAGCACCAAAATTAGTCTACTATTCAGATCTTTTTTCTGTAAGCTTGCTGATTAGTTAAGCTATTTTATCATCCTTTTCTTTTGATGGATGTATAATAGAGGATGAGAGCTCTCGAAAGATTGATGTAACTTCTTGCGAAAATAGACTAGAGGATAATAGATTTTACTCTAAGCCATGCTACCCATAGTTTCTGTGGGTTTTGTATACTCTTTTTTTCATCTAAACAGCCTAGACCCTTGAATGCAGATATCCAATTTAGGGGATGGTGTACCCAAAGAAGATTTACCCATAAAGATTGATATTTCCAAAACTCATGCAGCTGATGGAGAAATATTTTAAGTATTTTTTTACTAAAACCAACCAAAGAAGACACATATCTCAGGAAAGGGAAACAGCAATAACAAAAATTATTCTTGCAAGCATTAGTAAGAATTTGTATCCAGAATAGCTCATGAAGTTTAGTGGTAGCCAAATGTCTCAAAGAAAACTTGGGGTTTAGAATAAAAATTGAAAAGTGCGCTCATTCTTTCTAATATAGAAAGTCTTAAGTATATTCGCTGGAATTTTGTGTTAAGAACCACAAATTATCCGAGTTCGAACATAAGCGACGATGAAATAGAGCTTGAATTGTAAAATATTTTAAATCTTTTAATATAATTTTTAGAAATTGGTTAGTGTTGAAGAGCATATTGTGCTCATTCATTTATTCTAACGAAAGAGGACAGCTGTTCGAGTTCATCCAAAGTAATATTGCCTGGCAAACCACCAAATCGTATCCAATTAATGACAAAAACAGAGGTCAATGTTTATTACATTAAATAGCGTACCTTGTTCTCGAGGAATCAATATATTCCTCTTTTCATGTTATTTTCCAGTCCTACTCTCGAGCTAACCCCTCTAACGACTACTTGAGTTTGCACCTTTTTTCCCATAGATTATAGGTGTAAAAGCCAACAGATTTATTTCATAGTGGCATCATCCCGCCAGTAGCTGACTAGCATTTTTACATGAATCCTTAGATCAAAATAGTCTATTCAGCTTAGGCGTGTTACGCTTTCGACTTACACAAGTTTAGCCAGGCGTTCTAGCCCAGTGATGCTCTGCCGATCATAGTATAAACTGAGAAAATGTGGGGATACGAAGAATACCTTATGAAGTCAACTTACATGTAACCTTATAGGGAACCGAAGGATAATTGCTTTGAAAGTGTAACTGTTGGACCAGATTTAGCTCTGGCACCAGTCAAACTAGAATTATTATCTACATAATGGGTTAATCGTAACATAATATCACTTTCATGAAAAATTCATATGCAGTAACCTCCCTGGGGACCCGTCTCAGTAGTACCGAAATATTCGATTTTAGGCATGAAGTACACCCAGTTCCCGCCTTATTTGTCTTCCATTAAACCAGTCATTAAACTAATTTTTAAAACTGAATTTTTTATTCAGGCAATTTCTTTCCATGGTATTGTTGATTATAAGATTTCCATTAGTCTTGTCAAACAGAGGGCAAAATTTGTCCTTAAATATTCCACACAATATCTGTAGGTCAGTATATCCATTACTTTATTAGGCTCCGTTTTGCTTGATAAGCAGCCAGCCATTTGATCACAATAGCCAGAGCAAAGAATTTATTTTAAAATGGCAAGACCAAAATATTGCTCCAGGAGAACTTCGAAGATAAGGGTTAGAATAATTCCTCTCTTGCTAAAACAGAAGCAAAATTCAAGATAGAGGCAAAAAGAGAAGGGATGTAGAGGTAATTTAAATTAAAGAGAGCGATATAGGGAAGTATATTTATGAAAAAATTTAGTTTAGAATAAGGCACAGCTTCCGAAAATTAGCTAAGAACTGGATTAATCATAATACTGATTCGAAAAACCATGAAAAGAATTACGAAGAAATTAACGAATAAAATGCGAATAAGCAGACAGTAGTATCAGACAGAATAGGCTAAAGCTTCGAGGCAAACTAGATGCATAAATAATACCAGCCAAACTAGTATAAAAAATAAGATTTCTCCCTGTTCTATGATCAAAAGCATGAGAAGTACATAATAAAGTCGGAATTCGATAAAAATTACTGAAAAAGTTACAAATATACGAAAGTTTTTAACGAAATACAATGAGAAAGATTTTTAAAAAAGTCTTTAAGCCATTACGTAAAAAGTTCAGTAGGTTATTTAATTAGAGAGTATTTTTGAAGAAGTGCGAATAGGGATGATTCTGCCGTCCCAAAACAAAAGCAAGCGAAGAAAATTCTGGAGGAAATAGCGCTATAGTTGGAGATCACTTGTAGGGAAGAAATATAAGTAAACATGAAACTATATCATAAAAATGCAGGCATTTTTGAAAAATTCCATGAAAACAGTTGTTTAGAAATATTAGTGAATGCGTGAACTAGTTATCTATAGCATGAAACGGATGCCAGAGAATTCCCTTCTTTGTGCCATACATTTAGGAAAAACGTATAAATATGTACTAGAAGGGGTAATGTGATGGCGAAATAGGAAAATCGATGTAGGAAGGAACTTGGTCATATGGTTGCAGCCTGTAGTATTCCACAGAAATGTATAGGTAAAAGTTGGTATTAAAATGTAATCCAGAGATTTACTTAAAATCTAGTGCATATGAGAGGATAAAACTTTGCGCTAGAGACAAACTATATATTTTAGCGAGAAAGATTGAGAAGTGTTTAAAACAGAGTAGATCTGATCCTCTTAAGATGCGTTTGCTGACGAAAGCGTTGAGAAAAGTGACTTATGATAAAGAAGCCATTTAGTATAAATTATTTACTTAGTAGCTCGCTGAAATACTGCAGTTCAGCAAGCAGCGGTTATGAATGATAATTTAGGGTTGGTGAAAAACCCCCAAAATTTACATAAACAATTAAATTGATTTAAAAATCTCTTAATTCATTGAAAGATGTTTTTCATGCATAAAAGGCTCTTCAAGTTTGGTTGCTCACCTCCAGATACTTTGCCGGTCTCGGGATCCAATTGGGCTGCGATACCAAAGCCACCCAACTTGACAGGAGCTGAGTTCTCTTTGTTTGCCAATACCACACAATGTGGCTTGAGATCTCGATGGATAAGATTGTGATCATGACAGTAGCGAAATGCCTCCAAAATTTGTCGAAGATAATGACTGGGTGAGGTCATGTGGAAGAGAGAGGAAGAAGTTGGGCATGGAGAAAAGAAACTGGAAAATGATATCGTAGAGAGGGTATAACTTGATTTTTATTAAAATAATTGCAATTTTTAGCTTCATAATAGGAATGAGATGTGGAGAAGCAGTATAGACTAGAGATCAAAACTGAACTGCGCCAAAATTATCGGCCAGCAAGAAGTTGTATGCCTTTTTACTGAACAAAGGGATTAATATTGGTTCAAAATTGGTCATGTTTAGAAAAAAGAGCTCTCTCTCCCTAAAAAAACAATGTTTGCTGTTACTTCTGCCTCCATAATGTAATAGGAAAAGTATGGCCCAAAGATTATGCCTAGTGACGGATGACAACAGATAATCTAGCTCCGTATAGTGTTTAAGAATTGAAGTCTAAAACAAGAAGCACTTGACTAAAAGGTGACTTAATTAAGTGAACCAAAATCCTTTGCCATGTTGTGTTCTGGTTAGAGATCAATCATATGTGCACAACATTGTAAGATGCATCTTCACTAAATACCGAGAATGTCAAGAAGTATGTGGCATCGAATATCCCTGCCCAATATTACAGAATGAAGAATCTTGGTAGTCTAAGCAAACGGAGTTGTGGTGGCTTATTACTATCAAAAAGGGTATGTTATATCAGATACCATATCCATCTAGTTGAAGCGGCCCACAGATTTTCCATAATAGAGGATTGAGGAGGAAAGGAAGAAAGCCGTGTTTGAGGTGACAAGTTTAATTAGCAAGCCTAGCTTAAGATGTTGTAGTTAAGAGAATGGAGATGTTACTTCTGAATAAATGTAGAAACATATAATTGTATACATCTTTTCAAGCAATTTTAATTGTGAATAAAGGCTTTTAGAAGTTACTTTAATTTAACTTATAATATTCGCCAGTTTTATATAAAATTATAATAGCATCGGAGTAATTCTGATTAGCTCTCTAACTCGATTACGCACAATATTAGGTGTGCTGAGAGAATTTCGTCTTTGGACCATCAAAGCAGGATAGTAATTCCCTTAGACACTATGACGTTATAAATTTTGTATCCAAATTCAAGATTTCAAAGGCAGGTCAAAATAAATTTATGCTAAAGAATCCAAAAAGCATTTGCGAAAGGTCCAGACGTCTTTAGTTAATATTAAAAGATACTCACTAAATACGTCGACTAAGAAGATCCAGCTTAGCACGTGGATAAATTCAAGCAGATTGTTTGCATCGGAATTTTTCAGCCAAGGGAAAAGAAAATTAATTTCAGTATAACGATTTAGTTGCGAATTTGGTGAGCAGAGGATAGGGCTGATATGGTGGGGATGCCAAATAAGTCAAATTCTTAGGTTGGAAGGCCAAAATAAGGAGCCTGCTAATGACTTATTGACTAACGGTAGGAAAAAAATGAATAACTTTAGTTTTTCCTAAAAACTCTGCAAATATTGAAGACGTCTAGTAAAAAGATATCAACGCGATTCTTTAATGTTTGGCAAATTACAAACCACTAGCCGATTCAGAAACTAGAGATCAAGACTGATTAGTGTATCCAAATATCGAGGCGATTCTGCTGATTCCGTGCTCATGGTAAATGTACCTCGTAAAATGAATCTACTCGGCAGAAAAGTCAAGATAATGGCTTACATTTAGTTGGGTTTAAATAGTATGCTTTACTTATTCAGAATTTCGAGTTCATATAATTCAAGGTAAGGATGAAAGCCAGTTTCCAATGTTAAAGCATTTAAATCACTGGCAAAGATTTGTAGCCCTTTATGTGGGAAGTTTGTAAAATTGACTTTGACGGTTTAGACTTTTCATAAAAGTATGACTTGTCTGAAAACTAAAGGAAGACCTAGTTTTGTGACCTATCAATGGCACTTCCAGAATTTGAATCAAGCCAAAGATGTGGTGAGAACTAAGCAAATTCGAACTCTCAAAGCAACCTCTAAAACGGCCCTTTGGGATTTATGGAATAGCAACATTCGACGCAAAATAAAGCCTCTTCTTCAGATAATTGCAGTCAAAAGGTCAATAAGTTCATATAACACCATACGAATTTACATTCTATAAAGAATACTGAAAAAATAAACGTAACCGACTTTTCTCCCTACTCTCTGATTGCTTTGACTGAAACCTGAAACAAATACGCTATCATAAATTGTATTTTTTTAAAATTTACCTTAATTCATCTTTTTTAAATGATGCATGAATGATATTAGAAAACAAAATTTCAACTTATTCGTATGCTGCAAAATCGGACTAACCTGGCCACAGCTTCACTATATACGAATCCAGCAGTAGCACGTTTTACTATCTCAAAAGCAAGATCAGATCCTTCCATACTGCAATTGAAAAAAATAAATAGATACAAATTATAAATAAGAAATATTCACCAGATAGAAGCCCGATTTATTAACCTACACATGGTATAAATCAAGCGAAATTAGCAAACACAGAACTAAACAAGTAGAGAATCTCAGGATAAGGAGAAAAAACGGGAAGTTTTCAAGCTGCTTTTGATAACTGTTCAATTGCAAGGCCTTAAAGTGTAGCCAAGTTTATACCAGCAAGTGATGGGATCATGCTTATTTGTCTCCTAGGTATTATTTTACCAATAAGTATCTGAAATATTCTGCAAGAAGGCACCGTTTATAAGTTAGTTAGGACATCCGATTAATCGAGTAGTCGGAAAATCTATTTATAATATTTGTTAAACTTACTTCTATTTCCAGTGAAATTATTAGGTGAAGAGATTGAAGGTCGATTTTACCAGAATACGACGGCGGATTCCTCTTGACCAGCTGTCGATTGGCTTTACTGGAAGCTTCATGCTGACGCTGTTTCCG